ATATTTAAAGGAGGACTATGAGGTGAATGCTTTTCACTCACCTCATAGTTCTAGCTCACCTGTGACAATGAGACTGTCACAGGTCGGCTCAGAAGATCGGGAGGTGAGCGAACACATAACAGCGTTCGCTCACCTCTCGTTCCCGTCACCGCTCTCTGCCGTGACAGGGGAGGGGCTGGATTTCCCCCTCCTCGATAGCGCTAACTGGCGGAACGCACGGGGGAGGGGGCGGGTACAGCTGGCTCTGCCTCTAGATAGGCAGAGCCAGCTGTCAGTCACGCAGCTGGGCGGATCCCGGCATAATTGTCGGGATCCGCTTCAGCGTCTCAGTATACCGCGAGCTGTAGCTCGCGGTATACTGAGCCTAGGGTGACGGGAGGACGCTAGTTTGTGTCCTCCCGTTACCCTAAGGAGAACTATAGGGAAAAGCCTTAACCGCATAGTTCTCCTTTAACTCTCCAGCAGGCAGTGTGCTGAAACTTTGAAGAGCTCTAGTTGCTGCTATCTTCTGGGTGTGTTGAATAGCATGTCCTCTGTGGTACTAGGGTTCCTTCTGCCCACCCCTACTTCAACAGGGGACACAGTAGTAACATATGGGTCGGAGGATCAGCAGGAGGAACCAGAGTGTTCGATGTTGGCTACACTATCTGACGTACCTTCGGCCGAGATAGCAGCGGCACCCGGATAGACCAAAGTTTCAGCACAAGGCCCACCAGACAGATAAATATTCTTCTTCTTTTACAGGGCACTGCTGGATTAAAGCTAGCCATGCACTGTCATATTTCTATCAATCAGCCCCGTGGGTTGAAGCAGAGACATCATTGGATTCTCCCATCCACGCTAAACAGTGTGGATAGAGGAATGCCCTCTGCCAGCTATTGTATTCAGCAACTTCTGCTGAATACCCGAACCTGCTGCTCCTGAGAATCCAAACAGTGCCTGCAAAAAACAATAGCACATTAGACAAAGTGTATTTTTGCAGGCCAACTTCGGGGACAATAATGGTAGCCCAGTTCAGTAAACTGGAGGACATAATTTGCTTGTTGCTTGATAGACTGTGCACACTAAAAAATTTAATTACCAACTAAATGTATTTAATTGCTAATAAAATTATTTGCTTACATCTTCCTGCCGGCCCGTGGCTAGATTCCGTGGTCAGCAGCTGAATGTAAACAATGGGGAGCAACAGCCAGTCTGCTGTTGGCTATTGTAATAGCCAACAGCAGGCTGGCTACTGCATCAACCCACTGAGCAGCGGAGAGGACCTGAGAGAGAACTTTCTCTTAGGCGTCGCAGGGGGTTGCTATTAACTCTCAAACAACCAGAAACTACACTACAGTTATCCACCATCTATCGATCCGTGGGGGTGGGATAATTGGGATTTTACTATATACAGTGCAGGTCTCACAGACCTTAGTGAATGTATCGCCTCCCCTCCTCCCGTCCAATCACAAAGCCAATGGCCCCCTGGCTCCGTTTTGCGATAGGCCATTTGGAGAGGGAGGTGGAGCTGCATGAACAGCACTGAGGTCTAGAAGACATGCGGAGCGGACATGCAAGTTTAGTTGGAGCAGGACTTCCACCATCATGTAGATCTGATGATTTGCAGGAAGAAGTTCGCAGTGCTGAATATGGAAGGTGGCTTAACAGCAAAGTCACGGTACAACTTCCTGAACTCTGATAAGATGATTGCACCCGCAGCTGGGCTTTAACATAGTAAATACAGCACAGCGGTATGATGATCAGGCAATTCATAAAGGGTTTTCCCCAAAAGCTGGGTATTTATTCTTAAAAAGCCACAATCATGCGCTTCTTATCCTGAAGTCAAGCAGAGTTGGCAACTTTGCCAACAGAAAATGTTTTCTGTACTGACTATCAGAACTGCCACCATGTGCCACCCATGGCATAGCACTGTAAACACCACCTGTATCGATGATCAGCTGTTATACATCCCCCCTCCTCATATACAATGTAACAGGCCCTGCTGTACGTACAGCCACACAGTCTATGACAAGCTGAACACCGCCGATATGACTGAACACAGGCCTTACCATCTGCCTCGGTGGAGGAGACGAAGGTGAAGTCCCCGGGGGGGTTGTTGGTGTGCAGGCGTACAGCGGGGCCCGGCGGCTGCATCCTACTGCCCGCAGCGCTACTGCTGCCGCTGATGGTTGTGACGCTGATGACGTCTCAAGCCAGCTTCGGTGAGGAGGGTGAGCGCGATGACGTCACGCCTTTAACTCGGCCTCTATACTCCTCCTAGGGCCAGATAAGACAGGCTGAGCGCCCGTTTGTCAGTGCTTGGGAGAGATAAACAAGGAAAAGGATGCACAGCTCTCCACCCACCGCCACGAAGCTTGTGAGACGGTGGATATCCGGCTAGCTTCCTGAAAAAACAGTTTCTGTTTTGTTCAGTGGTTTAAATAAAGTTCATTTTAAAAAAAACAGCAAAAGCGAGGCTATGCAAACAGGAGTGTCAGACAAACTTTGTCTCAAATGTAGTGTAGCCAATCAGCTTTTAATGTTTCATTTTCTAAGCTGTGTGGGATAAAATGAAAGATAGAGGCTAATTGGATGCTATGGGCAACTGAACCAGGGGAAATAGGCTTGGTTTCAATTTTTATTAATTTCCTAAAAATGTTTGTGACACAAAAATACCTTATTCAATAAAGTGTTTTATTGTTTAAGCTGAACTCCGGACACAAAACTTCTATTAAAATATTTTCCTAAATAGCCACAAAGGATATAAATCCACTCTGTGAGCACCAAATGTCTTTACAAACCCAGATATTATGTTGTAAATGTATCAATGACATCATCACTGTGTTGTACATAGCCTGTGTAAAGAGCAAAGCTGTGGGAGAGACATAGCAGGCCTCACCCACTACAGACTGCCTGCAGAAAACTACAGGAGGGGCAGGAGAGACAAGACCAGGAGATCAGCTGATCGCTCCAGTGTTTGTCCTACAAAGAGGATTGGTACATATCACTGTGCCCAGAAACTGCACACAGTGTGTTGTTATTTTATTTAATTAGAAAAATGGATTATAATAACCTATTATAAGGTTATTAGGGGGCATTAAAGTGTAAGCACCTCTGTAGAGAGACTGATGTGACTGGCTCAGTGTTCTCTGTACAGCACTGTGGTATATGTCAGAGATAAATAAATGTATAATAATAGTGTGTGACTGTGGGAGTACATTAGAATGTAAGCTCCTTTGGTGCAGAGACCGCGGGAGGTGTTGGGGGGCTAGTGTGATCCACTTCGCCCCCCTTGGGAACGGGAAGGGAGGGCCCGGGAAAAAATCTTGCACCAGGGCCCTTTGTTCCTTAGGTTCGCCACTGGGTCTAAAACTACACGTCCATCTAAAATAACTCTAACTACAGGGTGACAATGCTGCAGTATTTTCACTGTAGAACAAACAGGGTTGAACTGAACTCAAAAGGCAAACTTTGCCATTTCATGGGGAACATTTAGAAATGTCAATTGTGCCCATGCAGTTATCTGAAAAACCAGATGTAGCACTGACCCCTGGAGGAGCTGCTTGATTTACGGGTCCTCCTAGCCTTCCTACTGGTGGTTTGCCCTTTAGCTGCACCCATGAACTTACTGACCCACTGACAGCAACCAACAGATTTCCACTGCAATCTTCTTTTGCTATTTTATTGGCTCATTTGTCCAGGGGAGAGAGGGATAGGAGTACAGGATACCCAAAACAGCACCAAATATTCCCTCCAATCTGTGGTGGTATCCTTACGCCACTGCCACAGGCTAATGCTCATAAGGTAGAGCAGACAGACAGCTAACGTTAATGTCACAGTCCAGGTTTTTGGTAAAAGAAAAATATTATAATAATAATAAATCCACACACATAAAATAAATACATGTGCATTTATTATTTATTTAACCTGCAAAGCATTGCAATGGCAATCAGTTGATCCTGGATGCCATGCTCGGGTTCCTGTAGACTCTTCCTCCCAGCCCCTACAGCAGTGACTCAACGCTCCAACGTTCAGCCGCTCAGTGCCGACGCCGTCCTCACATGTGAGGAAAAGAATTCGGCACCTCGTGAGGCACCTCCATTTACAGGCAACAGTAAGTGAGGGCCTGTGCTGAAATTGGAGGTGCATTGTATTTGTAATATGCACTGTACATGTACTTCATATAGAGTAATAGGTTAAATCATGATCCATAGTACATAACATGTAGTTATACTACGGATCATGATTTAACCTATTTATGTTAGCAGGGGAGAATTGGAAAACTATATTGCTGCAGTGTACTCTATACAGTATGTAGTACATATACAGTACATATTCCCAATACACTGCAACAATAGATTTACAATGATCCCCTGCTAACATGAATGGGTTAAATGATCCATAGTACAACTACATGTTATGTACTATAGATCATGATTTAACCTATTCATGTTAGCAGGGGATAATTGTAACTCTATTACTGCAGTGTACTGGACGTATGTGCTGTATATGTATTATGGATCATGATTTAACCTATTCATGTTAGCAGGGCAGAATTGTGAGCGCCTCCCACAAGCTGAGCACAGAGATGCGATTCAGCGCTCCTGCCCAGCGCTGACTACAAGAGCCACCGCGTGAGGCAACAGGGATCGGAGTGAAACTGTGAGTGAGGGAAGCTGGGACAGGGCTGGCTGTAAATCTATTGCTATAGTGTACTGGAGGTGTGTACTGTATATGTAGTACATATATACAGCACATACCTCCACTACATTACACGTGCCAATGGAAGTTTCAGAGGACTTATGTCTTCCCACCAATTTTTTCAATGTTATCAAATTTTAAAGAGAGCGAGGGAAGTGAAGATATGGGTCATGGTAGTGATTTAAAGCTGAACTTCGAGGAAAAGAAAAAAATGCACTTGCACTGCAAGGGTAAAATGCTTGTTTATCCCTAGGATACCAGTAAAAAGGACTTTCACTTCCCTAATACCTGGCTCCTGCAGGCTCACTCTACGCCATATGACTAGTCCCTGCAGCCTCTTCTCTAGGTCACTACGGCAGTTGCAGGCACTCTGACACCATTAAGTAGAATGCAGGGACACTAGCACTAGTATGTGAGGACGCCAAGGAACTGTCCACAACCCAGAGCATCAGGAAGATGAGGAGAGCACTGCAGGGGGAGTGAAGTTGCAAGTTGCAATATTTTTCTGTAGTGTATGCCAAATTACATCTCTCAAGTGAACCTTAAGGTGGCACTTAGCATCCAGCAACTTATAATAGTGTAGCTACCTCTTATAACCTGTAGGCAGTTAGGGACTCCCAGATGGCTCAGAACGCTAGCATTTCAGCTCCTCAAATCCTTGACGCTTTGTGAGGTGGACAAACTGGCCCCCGTCGATAGAAATCAGCAGCAGGTTAGAGAGAATACTGTATGTTAGATCACACTGCCTTACCTGTTCCTCCAGCTCAGTCAGTGTCCTGTTATTTGAAGATCAAACAACTTTATTAAAGAAATACATCAACCAGTCATTTTAGCTACAAATTCCTCTAATGTAGTCCCTTTGTTAACCACTTGAAGACCAAGTGTTTACTCCCCCCTTCCTAGCCAAGCCATTTTTCATTATTCAGCACTGCCGTACTTTGACATTTATTCAGTCATGCAACGCTGTACTGAAATTAATTTTATACCATTGTGTGGGGACACATAGAGCTTTCTTTTGATGGTATTTAATCACCACTGGGGTTTATATTTTTTACTGTATAATGAAAAAAATACCGTAAATTTCGATTTCCCCACATCCCAGATAGCAAGGATAACTTGCCACAAACTTGTGATAGGGTTAAATTGTAATTCTTAGTTGACACTTTTTGAATTTGTAGCAAATTTGCTTGTCAAGTCTACAGCAAGAGTCCTGCAGGTCTTAGCAAGAGCTCTGCAAGCTTGCTGGTCTGGAGACTTGCAATGCAGACTTGCTGTAATTGTGCAACAAAATTGTGAACCTTGGCAAGTCTGCAATAGTTTAGCAAGTCATTTTCAAACTTGCAGCACAATTTCTTGCTATCTGGGATTATGTTAAAAAATTTATTCTCACCCATATTTTTGCTCAAACATAAAAGGGTAATAGACACCAAAAATGTCAAGCTTTAAAATTGCGTGCGGCTGGAAGGATGTCTGAGTCCTGAGCTCGGCGCCTAGACTGGTCAGACTTACCCCTCCAGCAGCACGAAGCATCAGGGCATCTCCCGTCCACGGGTAGCCATCTCGGACGAGGAAGGAAGCCGGATGGCGGGGGGACATCAAAGCGCAAGGACGCTAAGTCCTCGATGGGCACAAAGACAGGGGGCGGTACCTCCAAGAAGACGTCGGCGGAACCCGGTAGTCGCGCTAATGCAACTGACCGCCGCAGAGTGGGAGCCGGTTCAGCCTCACCTCATCTGGACGCAGTGAGTACTGGGTCCCGCAGGGCCCACTCGCCGGCATCTACTTCCTCTTTGATAGAGACATGTTATTAGCCTAGCAGGTCTCTAACTCCTCTAGCCCTGATACAGTTGATGCGGACCTAGATTTGTCTGAGACTCATGGAAATAATGATTTAATAGCTACATTCTCTGAAATGCTGGAACAGGGCTTAAGCAAAATGGCCAAACAAATCACGTCTGATATATGCACAGATATTAGATATCTTTGGAATCAAAACTGGATAAGACAGTGGATCGCGCTTATCAAAATACAAGGCGTATCCTAGATATCCAACAGCAATTAGATGAAGCTCTCTCTAAAGTAGATGATATGGAAAATAGATCAGGGCGTCAGAACTTTCGCATAAGAGGGCTTCTTGAATGAGTTACAAACCTTAAAGGGGCAGTAGTAACATTTATAAAGGAACTTTTGCCTCAAGTAGAGGAGCAGAAACTTGAGCCGGATCGGATACACAGGGACCTTACGGCTATGAGATCAGATGGTCACCCTAGGGATGTATTGATGAAACCCCATTTTTTCAATATCAAGGAGCAAGTCATGCAATGTGCCAGGGAACAGTCGGGACTTACTATACTGGGACACTCTGTCCAGATCTTTACAGACATTTCTCCAACTACAATTCAAAAAAGGCGCAACTTGAAACCCTTGCTCCAGGTTTTAACCGCTAAAGGGATTAAATATAGATGGGCATTCCCTTTTCGCTTATTATTTTCTTTCAGGAATCAATCGTAAAATATTTCTGAAGGAGAAACTCTGTTTTATTAGTTGGGACTGTTATCGGATGTTCCTAAAGTTGGGCCCCCTAGCTCTAGCAGCCCTCCGCGGGGCAAGTTGCCCGGCCCTCTCTCGCCCCTTTGGCATAGGACTGGCAGAGGAGTTTTGCCCCCATCTGCTCTCTTAGGCTGAAGGGGCTGGGCGGGTTTATTATATGTGGCAA